CACGGTTCGATTCCCAGTCAGGGCACATGCCTGGGTTGGAGGCTCAATTCCCAGTGTGGGTCATGCAGGAGGCAGCCAATCAATGATTCTCATCATTGATGTTTCTATCTCTCTCCCTCTCCCTTCCCCTCTGAAATCAATAAAAATATGTATTTTTTTAAAAAGCCAGTGTTCCCCAGGGTCCTGCCCAACTCCCCCCACCCCTCTGCCTGCACTGGCTGGTCTGTGCTCCAGGCTTCCACTCCGCCTTAGTAGAGAGCTGCTCTGACACGCCAACCCAGGTTTCAGTGGCTTCATGTAATAGAAGTGTCTTCACATGAAATTCAACTAGCACCGTGTTCCAGCCCCTGCCATCTTCCCCACGTGGCCTCCCGGGGGCCCTGGGGCATCCACGCCAGCCAGCCACCTGGAGAGCAGGTGGAGAATGGTGTGGGGGGCCGCATGGTTTTTATGGGAGACACATAGGTCACTTCCACCCACCTCCGTCGGCGAGGACTCGGCCTGTCTCAGTTCATCCCGCCGCTGTAACAGACACTGTAGACTGGAGGCTTGCAAACACACACGTTTATTTCTCAGTTCGGAGGCTGGCAAGTTCAAGATCAAGGCACGGGCAGATCAGTGTCTGGTGAGAGCCCCCCTCCTGGCTCACAGACGGCTCTTCTCACTGTGTCCTCACGCGGGTGAGAGGGCTCCCGGGGGTCTCTTTAGAAGGGCACGCATCCTGTTCATGGGGCTCCAGCTCTGACGTAATCACCTCCCAAAGGCCCCACCTACCATCACATTGGGGGTGAGGGTCCCCACATGGGAATTTGAGGGGCACACAAGCATCCAGTCCACAGCCCCGCCCATGGCCACATCTAACTGCAAGGCAGGTGGGGCGTGGCCTCGTGGTGCCGTGGGGCAGAGGGGTTAGGCTGGGCGAGTGGCTGACCAGTCCCTGCCGCAGGCTGCCCATCTGGTCACGGAACAGGCCTTCACTCTTTCTGTTACACATGGAACAACTCATTGCTCTCCAAAGCGATGCCCGGTCCCAGCCCTCACTGTCCCTGGGACCTCTGCCCCGGCCGGACCTCCGGCAGAGGCACGGTTCTCTCCCCGGGTCCCAGGTGCTTCCTTGCGATCGAACTAAATCCAAGAACTAAAGACCTAAATACAAGAACGAGTTACCTGTGCCTTCCCTCCTGTTGCTGACACACACACTATTCAGTGGTAGGGCCCAGACAGGAAAACCACAGGACAGCATCCCGCTCAGGAGGGGAGCGGGAACGGGAGGGACGAGGCGGCTCTGATCACAGCCATTGTGAGATGCTGCTGGGCAGGCTCTGGGAAAGCCCTAC